CCCGGCTAATTTTTTGATTTATTGTAGAGATGAGGTCTCGCTGCCCAGGCGGGTCTCGAACCCGCGGGCTCAGGCAATCCACTCACCTCAGCCTCCCAAAGGCGCGGGATTACAGGCTGAGCCACCGAGCCCGGCTCAGATCTTTTCTATTAAGCAAGGCAAATACGAAAATGAAGAAATAAAATCTCCCTTAACCCTACCTCCACTCTTAACGTACTCCAATGCATTCTCTATATGAGGGTCATAGTGATCGATTCAAAAGACCAATTCTGGCTAGGTATAGTGGCACACATCTGTAATCCTACCACTTTGAGAGGCTGAGATGTGAGGATCACTTGAGCCCAGGAGTTCAACACCAGCCTGGACAACATAGTGAGAACTTGTCTCTATAAAAAAATAAAAATAAATGCATAAAAATAAAAATTAGCCAAATGTGATGGCACGCACCTGTGGTCCCAGCTACCGGGGAGGCTGATGTAGGAGGATCTCTTGAGCCCAGGATGTCAAGGCTGCAGTAAACTGGGATTGTGCCACTGCATTCCAGCCTGTGCAAGAGAGTGAGACCCTGTCTCAAAAACAAAAAGACCAGTCTCATCATGCTATTCCCCTCCTTGAAACCTTCCAATGGCTTCCAATTATTCTTAGAATAAAGTTTCAAATCCTCGCCATGACGAATAGCCCCTGCAGAATTAGCCCCCCTCTCCTTCTTTTTTTTTTTTTTGAGTTGGAGTCTCACTCTGTCACCCAGGCTAGAGTGCAGTGGCGGTGACACACTCACAGCCACCGCAGCCTCAACTTGCTGGGCTCAGGTGATCCTTTCACCTCAGCCTTCCAAGTAGCTGGAACTACAGGCATGTGCTACCAGGCCAGCTAACTTTTTGATTTATTGTAGACACGAGGTCTTTCCAAGTTGCCCAGGCTGATCTCGAATCCCTAGGCTCAGGCAATCCTCTCGCCTCGGCCTCCCAAAGTGCTGGGATTACAGACTTGAGCCACCGTGCCTGGTCCCCCCGCCCACTTTTTTTTTTTTTTTGAGTAGTGGTCTCACTCTGTCTCCCTACTGGGCTCAGGTGAGCCTTCTGCCTCAGCCTTCCAAGTAGCTTCCACAGTCGTGCGCCACAACGCTCAGCTAATTTTTTGATTTATTGTAGAGATGAGAGCTTGCCAAGTTGCCCAGGCTGGTCTTGAACCTCTGGACTCAGGCAATTCTCTTGTCTCCGTCTCCCAAAGTGCTGGGATTACAGACCTGACCCACCATGCCCAGCAGTCCTTACACCTGTCCTCTTCTCTCTCTGGACTCCAGTATACTAGTCTCCTATTGTTTCTGGAACTGGCCAAACCTTTTCACTTTTACCCTGCCCCAACCATCTTGCAACAATAATAGGCCAAAAAAAAAAAAAAAGTTCCAAACGGTAACATGACTTATTTGACCTTAGCTACCTTGGCCTCTACTGACCCCTCCATTTTTTCCCACACCATTCTATTCCTTTCTTTCCATGGCCTGGTTGTATCAGAATTATTTTGATTTCTCTAACATGCTAAGTTCCTTCCTCAGGTCTCTATGCAAATACTGTAAATTCTGCACTGAATCCTTTCCCCACACATAGTCCTGCCCCACACCTCCTCCTGTCACTCTTTACCTCAGGTAGCTTCTACTTATTCTTCAAATTTCTTTTTTTTTTTTTTTTTTTGAGTTGGAGTCTCACTGTCGCCCAGACTGGATTACAGTGGCCGCTTCCGGCCACTGCAGCCTCGGCCTGCTGGGCTCCGGCGATCCTTCTGCCTCAGCCTTCCAAGTAGCTGGAATTACAGGCATGTGCTACACGCTCGGCTGATTTTTTTTTTTTTTTGGGTTATTGTAGAGATGAAGTCTCGCTGCCCAGGCGGGTCTCGAACTCGCGGGCTCAGGCAATCCACTCACCTCAGCCTTATTCTTCAAATTTCAGTTGAACACTTTCAAACTCATCACCTCCATTTCCCTTCATTTCCCAAACTTGGTTGTCTCTTTGGTAAATGCAGCAGGTTTTAATTCCTCTTTGCTGGGACTTGACAATTTCATGATTTGTATTTTTTTAAAAATTTAATTTAATTTTTTTTTTTTTTTTTTTTTTGAGTTGGAGTCTCACTCGATCACCTAGACTGAGCGGCCACTGCAGCCTCGACCTGCTTGGCTCCGGCGATCCTTCAGCCTCAGCCTTCCAAGTAGCCGGAATTACAGGCATGCGCTACCATGCCCGGCTGATTTTTTGATTTATTGTAGAGATGAGGTCTCGCTGCCCAGGCTGGTCTCTAACCAGCAGGCTCAGGCAATCCACTCACTTCAGCCTCCCAAAGGCGTGGGATTACAGACTGAGCCACCGAGCCTGGCTAATTTTTTTTTATAGAGACAGGATCTTGCTATGTTGCCCAGGCTGGTCTTGAACTCCCGGGCTCAAGCAATCCTTTTACCTTGGCCTCCCAAAGTACTGGAGTTACAAGCATCAGCCACTATGCCTGGCCCCATGACTTGTATTTAATGACTTGTTCTCCCAATATACTATGAGTTCTGTGATTACAGGGACCGTGTCTGCTATCTTACTTACCATTATATCCTTAGAGGATGGTGCTTGGCCCAGAGTAGCCATTTTCAACATTTGTTGATTAATGAAGGCTTCTGCTAGCCAATGTATAAAATAGATGAACTAGGGCTGAATAGGGGTGGTCAACCCAGAGCCTTGTATGCATACTCCCTCCAGGTACACACAGAGACACACGTACACAGAGTTCTTTTCTCCTACTGAAAGGCCTTCAAGGAAGCCCCCTGGCTCTGTAGCACACATTTTGGAAACCTTGTATTAGATAATACAATCATGAGGGTCTAAATCAATAAGGAGATAAATAGTTATTTTTAAATATAATTTGTATTTAATTATGTATTTATTTTGTGTCAGAGACTCACTCTGTTGTTCAGGCTGGAGTGCAGTAGCACGCTCATGGCCACTGCAACCTTGACATGCTGGGCTCAGGTGATCTTTCTGCTTCGGCCTTCCAAGTAGCAGGAACTACAGGTGCGCCTCACCATGCCCAGCTAATTTTCTGATTTATTTTAGAGACGAGGTCTTGCCAACTTGCCCAGGCTGGTCTTGAACCCCTGGGTTCAGGCAATCCTCTCATCTTCACCTCCCCAAGTGCTGGGATCATAAGCATGAGCCACCACACCCGGCTAATAGTTATTCTTAGTGGAAGGTCTGGCGTGTTTTATTCACCCACCTGGCATAAAAAGCAATGGGAGAAAAGATGGGTCCCTTATTTCTTACTCCAGTGATAGAGTAGATGATAAGATCATTTCTCAACTCAGCATAGGAAATGGTTAAGGCACAGGTTTGAAATTCGTTTTGAAAACGTTTGGTATGTACCACCTGTAAGATGTTGAATTGAAAATGTCCAGTGGTCACTGAGTGTTCTGGAGAACAAGTGTGCCTGAGAATTACACGGTGGGGGAGAGTGACCCAGGGATAGTTTTTGCAGAGAGGTAAAGACTCAGAACAGGACCCGAGGGTACACCAAAATGAAAGAGCTGAAGAGAGGCAGGAACAGAAGAACAAGGCCATCACTGCTATTGAAGCATCCCATCTACTTTCATTTATGGAGGAGAAATCTTCGTTTATTTTTCCTAAAACTATTTTAAAAGATTTTCCTCTTCATTGTGAAATAGACCATAAGCTATAATTGTATTATCCTTTAGTTCTGTCTCTTAATTCCTTTATCAACTCTAAGATTAGGCAACATTATTATCCCTGCTTTACAAATGTAGAAACTAAGGTACAGAGAGGTTACACAGTGTATCCAAAGTGTTAGGCTGCTGGACTCTAGAGCTTGCACTCTTTCTTTTTTTTTTTTTTGAGTTGGAATCTCACTCTGTCGCCCAGGCTGGAGTGCAGTGGCATGCTGATGGCCACCGCAGCTTCTACCTGCTGGGCTCAGGCGATCCTTCCACTTCAGCTTTCCAAGTAGCTGAGACTACAGGCATGCACCGCCACGATCCGCTAATTTTTTGATTTATTGTAGAGAAGAGGTCTTGCTAAGTTGCCCAGGTTGGTCTCGAATCCATGGGCTCGGGTTGGTCTCGAATCCATGGGCTCAGGCAATCCTCTCACCTCGGCCTCCCAAAGTGCTGGGATTATAGGCGTGCTTGCATTCTTAATCAGTTCATAACCTATAAATATTTGCACTTTTTCCCATTATAATTATTTGTTACCCGTCTGGGCAACTTGGCGAGACCTCATCTCTACAACAAATCAAAAAGTAGCCGGGCGTGGTAGCGCGCGCCTCTAGTTCCAATTACTCGGAAGGCTGAGGCGGGAGGATCGCCGGAGCCCAGCAGGTCGAGGCTGCGGTGGCCGGGAGCGGCCACTGCACTCCAGTCTGGGCGACGGAGTGAGACTCCAACTCAAAAAAAAGAACATTGCAGAATGGAGGTACATGTCAAATGGGCGTTAACGCACCTCCAGGGGAATGTCAAGAGGATGAGTTAGGCTCTATGTATTGAAAGCTAGACCTGAGAAGTCGCGGAAAGGCTGGATGTCACTGTATGCTGTCATTCACTTAGAATCGGGGCAGGGACGCTGGTGCCCACGACATGGGGAGTATCTGCAGAGAAGATCTAGGTGGGAGGAAATCTCAGTAATAGAAATGGGGAAATTGAAAGCACTGAAGACTCATTTTGCCAGTGTCGCAACTAGATCTGTCGCGTTCGCTGTCTGCTTCGAAAATATTGAGGCCCGTTGCAACCCTAGATGAGTTTGCTTCATTTTCTCGTCGAAGAACTCAGCACAGAGGAAAGCCCACCCACGACCCAGCACCTGGTGGAGCCGTTTCCCCTGGCAACCAGGAAAAGGCGTGGTCTGAGGTTAGCCACGCCCCCTCCCAAATCCGGGCAACGATTGGTCCCAAGGCGCGGCGGAGGCGTGGCGAAGGCGGATCCAGGATCCCGGCTCTGGCTGGCGCGCGCCGCCATTTTGGCTTGTGTGGGTTTCCGGGACGGTCCGAGTGCGGCCTCTCCCCCGGCCGATTCCGCAGACCACACCCCGGGGCCCGCGTCCTTGTGTCAGGTTGGAGTCGGGAAGCGTCCCTGGGGGTAGCGGCGGCGGGGGCAAGATGAGCGCGGAGGCGGCGGACCGGGAGGCGGCCACGTCCAGCCGGCCCTGCACCCCGCCGCAGACCTGCTGGTTTGAGTTCCTGCTGGAGGAGTCGCTGCTGGAGAAACACCTGCGCAAGCCCTGCCCGGGTAAGGACGGCGCCTGCAGCGGGGGACAGGGACACTGAGGCTGTGGCCTGGGAGGCTCCGACGCCCCTCGCTGTGCCTTAAGCTTCCCCATGCTGGGGCCTCGCGGAGGAGGGTCCAGCAGCAGCTCAAAACAAAGGCCTTTTCACCTCTGGAGGGGCGGGCTTGGCGCTGTCAGCCCGTCCCTGTGGTCCTTTTTCCTATTGGGGGTTTTAGCGCCTGCAGGGTGGGGGAATCTTGTGGTTGCTTGAGTCAGGGAGGCTTGCTGGAACTCTCTCTTTTCAGAACCCCAGGCTGTTTAAATTCTGGGAGATGGGGAGAAATCAGCTGATTCTGACACTGATTAGCTCTCTTAGGTTTTTATTTAATTATTTTGTTTCTCAGTGAGGCGATTTACTGACACTGAATTATATGCATTCCAAAATTGGGCTGTACCTTAAAATCCTTGAAAGCGGAAACTGCTGCACAGTTGCAAGATGGTTACTGTGTAGCATTGATAATGATTAATATCTCAGTTAAATGAGTTTCGTTGGAGGAGGAGGAAAACGCCAGGCATTTCTGGAAACAGGTACCCACATGGAAAAGTAAATTCTTTGAATAGCATTTTGCTAAATTCAAATCGAGATGTGGCTTGTTCAGTCTAATAGACTGGCCTTAACTGATGGAAAGCTACTGTATAAGAAGTTAGTGTACTGTGTACTGGGCAGTTTTGCCACCTGTATTATTCCTTTTAATTAATTCCTTTTTTCTTTTTCTTTAGAGTTCACAATTTTATTTTTTATCTATTTATTTTAAATATATGGAGTACAATTCAGGGTTAGGTATACCTGTACCCTGCCCAAGTCATTCCTTTTGACAGACATTTGTTAAGTGCTTTCAGGGTGTCAGACACTGTCCTTAATTCTTTACATTCTTTACATTTAACCCTTTGTACTTGGATGTCTCCTCTGAGGAGACATTATAAATCTTGCAAACCACTTGGATGTCTCCTCTTGGGAACATAAACTTCAAGAAAACTTGGAGAACTTCAAGAAAACATAAATTTGAAAAATGTGTGCTTGTGTAAGTTTGTCCTGTATAATCACCAGCAATCTCTTTATTTCCAAAAGCAAATAAACAGATGGAATATATACTGAGATATACGTAAAAAACAATCAGCTGGCATTACAGAGGAAGATAATGTGTGAAATACTTTTACAATGTTGCTGACAAGTTCCCAGTGTAGCAGGATACCACCTTTGCTGACAGATATTACACTAGTTTTTGACCTAGTGGAAGAGTGAAGAGCTACTAAAGATGAAATGTCATCTTACAGGTACAAAGTCAACCGAAAGGGAATACCAGCACAAATCAAAAAGCCTGAGCCCGCGGGTTCGAGACCCACCTGGGCAACTTGGCGAGACCTCATCTCTACAATAAATCAAAAATGAGCCGGGTGTGGTAGTGCGCGCCTGTAGTTCCAATTACTCAGAAGGCTGAGGCGGAAGGATCGCCGGAGCCCAGCAGGTCGAGGCTGTGGTGGCCGGGAGCGGCCACTGCACTCCAGTCTGGGCGACAGAGTGAGACTCCAACTCAAAAAAAAAAAAAAAAATAGCCAAAGCTTTTAAGGAAAAAAACAGTAGCATATAGGAAAAATAATCTTACCCTTTTTGCTTGGAAGGACAAAAGGATTGTTACAATTATCAGCACGTGGAATCATGCAGCAAGTGGTCTACCACAGGGACATTATGTGGTGGAAATATTGTATCAGTCAAAAAAATCCCCAAATGATTCTAAATTATACTGCAAATATGAGTGGTGTGGACTTGCAGACCAATATGCTTCTACATGTAGTTTTTTGTGAAAAATTTTTAAATGGTGGAGGAAATTCTTCTGTGGACTAGAAGTATGTGATATTACCTCCTGTAAACTGTACTGAGCATTAAAAAAAAAAAAACACCATGTCCCATTTTAAATTTGTCAAGCTTCTGATTGATCAGTTGAGAGCGGTTTTCAGGAATTACGAGTGTGTCCTTTCACATCATCTTCAGACAACGGACTGGACCATAAGTTACATTTTTTTTTTTTTTGAGTTAGAGTCTCATTCTGTCACCCAGACTAGAGTGCAGTGGCTGCTCCTGGCCACCGCAGCCTCGAACTGCTGCCTTCGGCAATCCTTCCGCCTCAGCCTTCCAAGTAGCTGGAACTACAGGCGCATGCTACCAAACCCGGCTAGTTTTTTTTTATTTATTGTAGAGATGAGGTCTCACCAAGTTGCCCAGGCGGGTCTCGAACCCTCGGGCTCAGGCAGTCCACTCACCTCAGCCTCCCAAAGTGCTGGGATTACAGGCTAAGCCACCGAGCCCGGCTTAAGTTACATATTATTAATGTGGGAGGAAGAAAATGTGACTGCATTGTCTGCTTGAATAGAAAAATAACAGGCAGAAGATGTCAAATAAATTACTATTACACAACATGTATCAACCTGCAGTGCATGTCAGTGACTATTTCACGTTACCACAAATCAGAAAATTATAACATTATTCACGATAGCAAAAACATAGAACCAACCACCCTGCCCATTGAAAGTGGACTGGATAAAAATTATGGTACATGTACAAGTTAGAATATTACGCAGCCATAAAGAAGGACAAAATTTGAACTTCGTAGCAGCTTGGATGGATTTAGAGTCTATAATACTCCGTGATCTATCACAGAAACAAAACACTGAGTACCACATGTTCTCACTTATAAGCGGACCTTGAACAGTTATAATACTATAAGAAAGGGATTGGCAGCAGTGGGAAACTGTTGGGGAGTATAACACAACGTCAATTAGGGTACCTGATTTCAAACCAGGCGAAATGGGGACCAAAGGGATTCCCAAACTTTACCTTTACAATGAAGACTTGATTACCTAATCCTGAATTGTACCCCACATCTTTAAAATTAAAAGAGAAATATAAGGCTGGGTGCGGTGGCTCATGCCTATAATCCCAGCACTTTGGGAGACTGAGGTGAGAGGATTGCCTGAGCCCAGGGGTTTGAGACCAGCCTGGGTAACTTGGCAAGACTTCATCTCTACAATAAATCAAAATATTAGTTGGGCGTGGTGGTACACGCTTGTAGTTCTGGCTACTTGGAAGACTGAGGTGGAAGGATTGCCTAAGCCCAGCAGGTCGAGGCAGCAATGGCCATGAGCATGCCACTGCACTCCGGCCTGGGTGACAGTGAGACTCTGACACACACAAAAAAGAAAAATATAAGATATAAAATTTTGGGTTTTTTTGATCATAAGTTCTTCAATGTCCAAAATTTCATTATAAGCCAAATATCATTACAATAAAATAATTGATTCCAATGCCATGCTATTTTATAAGTAATTCATTTTTCACTGTTTTATAAAGTGTGGTCATGTTGCTGGTAGGTGATTCGCAAGATGTCTCTGAGTGCCAAGGGTTAATTCAGTCGTCATCATAATCCTGTGAGGTAGGAGGAAACAGGAGATAGTATCTAAATACTTTATGGGAAATTAGGAAAAATTAAGAAAATAGGAAAGGATTAGGGAGAGAAGTTTTTTTTTTAAACATTTTTGTTTGCTTTTTGTTCTTTTTCTCCCTATAGTTTTAAAGTTGTAATCATACCCTATTATTTGAAAATAGTAACTATCTGTCTATACTATCAATCATTAGTATGCATTGGAGGAAACAGGAGCTCTTGGCGGAGGTCTCCCTAGTTGGTTTCAAAGCAGTAGTTCTAATGCCTGTGTCTCTTTCCTGTAATGGACATCGGTTATTTGCTGAAATGAGAATCTATTACATGTTCTACTCTGTGAAGTGCTTTCTTCTAGTCTCTTATCCCTTCTCGTTACCATGCTTCCTGATCTTACCCTTTGGCCCCCAAGCACACTTCTTACTTATGATATTCCTTGGTCATTATAACTGCATAGCTGTTTGGATTCCTTTTGTGTCCAAACCAATAGTGAATCTGTTTGCATCTTCATAATTAAAACTTGCATATAAGAATTTATTTTCTTTTAAATCCTAGATCCTGCACCAGTTCAACTTATAGTTCAGTTTTTGGAACAGGCTTCCAAACCTTCAGTTAATGAGCAAAACCAGGTTCAGCCTCCACCTGATAACAAGAGGAATCGTATCTTAAAACTACTTGCTCTTAAAGTTGCTGCACATTTGAAGTGGGACTTGGACATATTAGAAAAAAGGTATGCAAGATTTAAGTGAAATTTTATTTGAAGTACTGTTTAGATGATCTTGATTTATTTTTATTTATGGTTTTAAGATATTCGCTGTTAAAATGAAAAGTTATTTTTCAGTGTATTCTTGGTAAAATATGCAAGTATTTTTTAAAAGGTACAAGAAAGTATTTGAATGTTGAATGAATTTAAATTATTCTTTAACTATAAACTTGATGCTATCAGTAATGATGCAAATTATTATTTTTGCTGTCAGTAATGATGCAAATTATTATTTTTGATATGGTAACTAGAGAAAATGCACACCTAAACTTTTAAATTTCTCAATTAAATTTAAATATAAATATTTTATGTATTCAGATATATAAAATATATATCTGAAGAAAATGAATCAAAATTAATGATGGTGTTTTATAATATTATGGATGATTTGCTATCAAAAATTCAGTTAATTTTATGGGTCATAAATCAGTTTTTGTCTCCCACACTATTAAAATAGGTGGTTAGAATCAGTGCTTATATGTTAAAAAATACATACTTTCAAGGCTGTGGTTAGAAAGTTGTTTGTTTCATTTCCTTTCCCTAATAATTTAAAAAGAAATACCTTATAGGAAATTGGGGAAAAATTCAGAAAATAGGAAAGGCTTAAGGAGGAAAGAGAAGTATTTCTTTTAACATTTTTGTGTGCTTTTTGTTCTTTTTCTCCCTATAGTTTTTTTTTTTTTTGAGTTGGAGTCTCTGTTGCCCAGACTGGAGTGCAGTGACACGTTCCCGGCCCACTGCAGCCTCGACCTGCTGGGCTCCGGTGATCCTTCCGCCTCAGCCTTCCAAGTAGCTGGAACTACAGGCATGTGCTACCATGCTCCGCTGATTTTTTGATTTGTTGTAGAGATGAGGTCTCGCTGCCCAGGCGGGTCTCGAACCCGCAGGCTCAGGCAATCCACTCACCTCAGCCTCCCAAAGGCGCAGGATTACAGGCTGAGCCACCGAGCCTGGCGTAATTTTATCTTTTAAATGACATATTCCCAAATCAATAGTTAGAGTTTTCCTTTTAAAAATGTAGATGAATTGCATCACTGAAAAGCACTCTCCAATGACTTCCCAGCTCACAGAGGAACCTGACACGTCTGACACCCTGCAAGATCTCACTCCCATTTCCTCTCTCAACTCGATCTGATCTCACCTCCTCTTACTCTCTTGGGCTTAATCACATTGCTCCACCCACAGGAGCCCCATTTGCTGTGCTTGCTTTTGCCCACACTTTGAGAGTGAAGGCATTATTTCCCCATCTCCCAACTCCTCCTCTCCTGTGTGCAGCATATCTGACTTTTTCCTGACTAACTTTATTGTCTCAGCAAAAACACTGACATATTCTAATTCATTTATCTGGACTAGAATAGTTGCTGTTCTTTTTAACCTTGCTAGGCCTGTTCTTCCAGTTTTTTCTTGTGTGGTCTTCTCTTTGTCTGCTCTTTTTAATTCCAAACTGAGCAAAACCCCACCTCCATTATTAAACATACTCTTTTTATATACTCCCATTATTCAACAAAGCTTGAAGAATTGCAAATAAGTGAAGACTTATGAAATCCAGAATAGAGAGATTGGGCACTGGGTGATAGACTAAAGACTCCATTATATTATTAGGGTCCTGGAGTGTTGACAGCCCATTCATATCAACCTGTATCAGAATGTTTTCTGGTTAATTAAAAATCCAGGATAATATATTTCAAACATTTACTTTTATTGTTCCTGGTTTATATAATTCCCATTCAGTGTAAATTACATTTGGATTATTTAAAAATCAAATATTCTGCACAACATTAAATTCATATTACTTTTCTCTGTGTTCGGTAATTCTGAAACTTAAAGGATAGTGTCATCTGAGAGGAACAAATTAATTGAACAAATAAAGAAAACAACCTGTATTTTAATGTTCTTTGTTTTCAAAAGCTTGAAAATTTGCCAGGCACAGTGACTCACATCTATAATCTCACTGCTTTGGGAGACTGGGGTGAGAGGATTGCTTGAAGCTAGGAGTTCAAGATTTATAGATTTAGTCAAGCATGGTGGTGTGTGCCTGTAGCCTTAGCTATTCGAGAGGCTGAGGTAGGAGGATCCCTTGTGCTCAGGAGTTCAAGATTCCAGCCTGGGTGACAAAGCAAGATCTTATCTCAAAGCACACACACACTCACACACACAGACACAATTAGGTTTGATCTTTTTAAAACTTTTTTTTAACATTCACAAAATTGGATTAATCATATTTACAACCAAAATGAAATTTGGGAATAAAATAATTATAAAATTGAAAGTAGAACTGTTTGGTCTTTGGACAGTAATTATTTCTCAAAGAAGAATCCAAGATCTCAAGTACTCAGTAGGATTTTTAAACATTAGATTATCAAATCTAACTCTTCTTTAGAACTATTAAGCCTATGGTCAAAATATTGGCAACTGCATCTTGCAGTTTTTCATGTTAAAATTTTATTTTAAAATTATAAAAATGTATATGATGCAGGGTAACAGGAAAGACTGCTGATAAATGAGATTTTAACTGATTTCTACTTTTATGTTAGTTAAAATGATGTGGGTGCCAATTGTACTGAGAAACAACTGAGACTATTAGCATATATTCTCAGCCAGTCACGCATCTGAGTAGATGCCCTAGCTGGGCAGGTCAGGGGAAAAATCCAGTTATTTTAAAGTAATATTTAAAAAATAGAAAGAAAAGCAACCGATATCATAGAAACATCCCCATATAAATTTCTTATTAAAAAATATGATGAGGTGAGAAATAAGTCCCTGTTAAAAAAAAATCCAGTTATTGAAACCAAAATGGTTACTTAAAAATTGAAGTTTCACGTTAGAAAATTTCAGCAGGTTAATAAGTAGGACCTACAGTGCTAGTGTAGCACAAATAATAAGGGACTAATTGTATATTTTAAAAAACAGGATGAACAGCTATTTTAGCAGGAAAAAACCCCTAATTTTATTGCTGTCATATCTGTATTATTTCCAACCTATGCAATTGTATTATAGCTTAAATCATCATATCACCAAAATGATGTTTGTTGTTATAGTTTTTATAGATGTATTTGTAACCACTGTTACGTATGTATCTTCTTTACTGATCAGTTAGGACTCATGTTTCACTGTAACCAAAAGATAAATACATTAAACAAGAAGGAATTATTTTTCCCTTACATAAACTAAGTATCCATGAGAAAGAAGTACCTATGCATCTGCAATGCAGCACTCTAAGATTTATTACTGGGTTCCCAGTGCTATAATTCAAACTCTAATTCTGTGCTCCAGTTCTGACTCACTCATGTATCTATTTAATAACTAATTACAAAGGGCCTGTTTTTAAGCAGACCCTGGGCTTGGCACTTAAAAAAGAGACACAATTTCCACTATATAAATATATGCATATATATAGTATGCATATATATAATATATATATAGTGTTGATATATATAACGTTTATAGTCTTATAGTCTAGTAGTGGAGACAGATGAGTTAAAATAATTCTACAAATAAATGTATTAGTATTAGTGTTACAAAGAAAAATTGTAAGACCTTATGAGAGAGTGTTTAGTAGATTATAGCAACAGCCACAAATAATTCCTCTTCCTGCATTCATGCTCTTATAATATGAGGTGGCACATCCTCCCATCAAGAGATGAAGTCTAATTTTTACCTAGGTGGACCATATGCCTTAATTTTGCCAATAGGCCTTTAGCAAATGTGATGCAATCAAAGACTTGAGAAGCATTTGCACATTGAGGTTTGCTCTTTTGCCATACTTCGAATATTTGACCTCCATAAGACCACAGGGTCACCTACTAGAAAATGAAAGATCATGGAAGATAATTAAAATGTTCCATTGCCCTGAGAGTCAACTCCAAAATGTGTGAATGAGGCAATTCAGGGCTAGCCACGTCCAAGTCAAACAATCTGCCGATCTCAGAACCTATATCTGACCATAGAGATGGAATAAACACAGTTGAGACCAGCAGGAGAACCGTGCAGCTGAATTTAGCCCAAAATACTAACTCATAAAATTGTGAGTGAAATAAATAGTTCTTATTTAGGCCACTGAATTTGGTATATTTTGTTATGAATCAAAAGTAACTGATAATAGAGCATGTTAAGGGGACCTAATATTGCCTATGGAGCCCTGGAAAACTCTGAAGAAAGTATCTAATAGATGAATGAAAGAGTCAGACAAAAAATGGCAGGAGCAGAGAAAAATGCTGGAGATATTTGAGGGAATATAAGAATGCCAATTTATTTAGAGTTCTTCCTTGTTCCAGAGTCCCCGTATCTTTCTTCTCTCCTCTGCTTCGTATATAATCTAAGACTTGAGTTTTGATATCTGACTTTCGACTCAATTTTTGTGTTTAGTAAATGAAAATTTCAGATCCTCTACCACTGAGCTGCTCTTTTTCTTAGCATAGTCTCTCAAATAGACGACAATGTTCCCCTCAACTTGAGCTTACTGGTTAGGGTCTTACTGTCTGCTAAAATCTTTCTTGATGCCCACTTCTTGTCTTGGGCTTTGAGAACTGGCATTCCTATAGTCTCTTCTTTACTATTTCTTATTATATGCCACTGAAAAAGTTTGGGTGGGAAGGAGGTTATAAAGATAATTGTGCAGATATATATGTTGAAATACATATGAGTAGATAGATAAATAGTTATGAACAGTTACATGAAAAAAGTAAGTTACAGAGCAGCATCTATAATATTACCCAATTCTTGTAAAAACAAAATAATACATTATTTTATTTATTATATTTTATGCACACATATGCACAAGTATGCATACATACACACACCAACTTAGCAATGGTCACTTCTGTATGTACAGTCCCAGGATGATTATTCTTGTTTTATGTTCTCCTATGTTGTTTGAATACATTTAATTACATTTTCTAAATAGCTGTTGAAATATATACCAAAATTTATGTTTACCTTGGATATTTAATAAAGATTATTTATATGTATGGCTAAGGCTGGCTGAGT